ACCCTGGCAACCAATGGGTCCCCGGGAGTCGGGACAGCCCGGCACCATGCCCCTGTCACCTTCACAACCGGCTCCATCAGTGGCCACCCGGAAGCCAGGCCCGCAGTTAGGGAGGCAGCGGTAGGACCCCAGCAGGTTCACACAGCGCTGTCCCTCTCGGCAAGGATCGGCCTCCCAAGCGCACTCGTCCACATCTGTGGGGGGGATGGGGGCAGGGGTGCGTGAACACTTGTCCCCAGGCCCAGCCTACCCACACAGGCTTTGTCCTTAGGCCCAGAAGCCCCTGGCAGGAAGGTCCCCACCCCTCCTGCTAGCTCTGTCCATCATCTCGGCACCCCCAGAAACACAGAGCCTCCTCTGAGGGACCCGGAGGCCCTGGCCTGTAGCATCTGAAGTGAGGCTGCAGACAATGCCCTTTGGGTGCCCCAAAGAGACTTGGCCACACCAGGCCCCGCTGGTGGGATGGAGGGACAGACGTGTGGGATCAGAGTCCAGACAGCGTCTCAGGGTCAGATTCATCGTCCAGCAACTTCATTATGGGGGCAAGCAGGGCAAGCGGGCCAGATGGGTATCAGCTCACTTCCAAGCCCGGTGGACTGGAAATGCCCGCTGAGGGCTGGGAAAGCTTCTGAGGCCACGTCCAGGCTCAGTGGGTGTGCGTGCCGTGAGCACGTGGTGGCCACATCCATGTCTTTAGAGATCCCCACCGCCCCTCAGTACTTGAGCCTCTCCCCTCTGTGGCCCTCAAAATAAGAAGTTCTCAGTGGGAACAGGGCATGGGAACCCCTAGGTTCACGTCCCCTGAGGGATGTGCCCCCTGGCCAGGGTCCCAGCCCCGGAATCTCCCTGAGCACACCTGGGCCGGGTCCAAGACGAGCCTCTCCACCTGGGGCCCACTCACCTCTGCAGGTCCTTTCGTCCCTGGCCAGGGTGAAGCCAGCTGGGCAGGAGCAAGAGAAGCGGCCGGGCACGTTGCGGCAGGAGTGGGCGCAGGGGCTGGGACTGCCCGAGCACTCGTCCCTGTCTGCGGGGTGGGGAGAGGTCCAGTGGTCTGCGCTCACAGGCCCTCCAGCCCTCCGTCCCTCCCAGGCTGAGGCCTCCCTCGTCCCTGCCGGGGTGGGGAGGCATGCTCACCCACGCAAAACTCTCCCTGGGTGTCCAGCTCAAAGCCCTCTGGGCAGCCGACTTCATTCTCTTCTGCTAGGCAAAGGGGACAGACCCTGAGGACACGAGGGCCCCAGTGCCCAAGGCGCCCGGGAATAGAGAGCCCAGGCCCTTGTGGGGGCCCTGGCAGGATCTGGCTGGGGCAGTGGGGGGTGGTGGTGGTGGAGAAGGGACGGGGGCCTCACCAGCTTGCAGGGCCGTGGAGAGCTGGAAGTGCAGGGCCTTGGCCTCGGGGTCGAAGGCCGAGCTGATAGCAGAGGCCCGCAGGTGCTGCACCAGCTGGGGCTGGGGGCCCTGGGCCGCGTCGTACCGGATGCTGTGGTTGCCGCGCAGGAACGAGAGGAGGCTGTCCTGCAGGAAGCTCTGCGTGGAGCCCACAAAGAGCCGGCCGGGCCCCGTCTGCACGTACTGCTCCTGGAAGTCCTGCAAGAGGCCGGCGGGGAGGGCATCACGACATCGACTTCCAAGGGGCGAGGGACCCTCTGCCCCCAGTGGGGACGCTGGGGTGTGGGCCTCGTGGGCCCTTCGGCTCTTCTTCCAAGCAGCTGGGCACCCTCGAGCTGTCTGCGAAGCTGGGCCAGAGCATCCTCCTGCCGTGGGGTTACTCCTCCCCTCGGCCCAGCCAGGCCACGCCCCAGACCCTGCTGGCGAGTCAGGAAGGAAAGTGGGCCCGGCTGCTAGGGTAGGGCTGGGGCAGGACATGCCACTCTCTCGCGCGCGCCCCATCTGCACACCCCAGGGCTCTCCCCCCACCTGCACTTGCAGATCTGCGTCCGCCAGGCTCTCGGGGACGATGCCATTGACCACCACGTCGAGGAGTAGGAAGCCATCGGGATCCAGGCCCCGGGCCACCTGGGTCATTGTGAGCAGCTCCCCTGCAATCCATCCCCACCCAGACTGGAGTCACCTCGGGGGAGAGGCCCTGGGCTCAGACCTCAGCCCCACCTGGCCCACCTCGGGGAGACCCCCGCTCACCTGTGGCAAACTCCACATGCGACTCCTGTTGGAAGCGGCCGCCTGTCAGGGAGTGGCCGTTCAGGGCATCTCCACTCTCTCTGGCCAGAGCCCAGTAGATGGGGGCGATGGCGACCACAAGCACCCGCATCAGAGGCCCTGGACGGGGTGGACACAGAGGCTGGGTTAGAGCCAGACCCCGAGGGCAGCCGCTCTTCTGCTCAAGATCTCTCTGCAGCTCCCTACTGCCCCCAGGAGAGCTCAGCCCCTTGCCTCCCTACCCAGGCCTAGCCCGTGATTGCCTGGGCCAGGAATTAGATCAGAAGGTGGGAAGCGGTGAAGACAAAAACTACTTTGTGGAGTAGTTGTGAAAATGAGCAAAATATATCTATACAAAGAAGTGCCTTTAATATGCAACTGAATTCAATAAATATTGAGGGCTACTGGGTCACCACAAGCATGGGACTGCATCGACCATCACTACATACATGCTGGACCAAGCAGAAAATCAACTGTCTCCTAACTTGCAGACACCTTCCAGAAGAGCCTGGAAGAGGGAGGATCGTTCTAAACCACTGACTTGGAAAAAAGAGCCCAGAAGTGCCCTGGACACGGATTCTCAGACCTTTTCCCGCGATGCCCAGCCCTCCTCTGAGGCCAGGTGGGGTCTGGGAGTGGGGAAGGGGCAACGCTGTTTGCTTGGGGCCAGGGATGGTCCAGCTTCTCAGCCAAACTGCTGGCTCAGAAGAGGTACAAGAGGGCTGATGTTCACAGGAGCCAGCTTGGCCCCTGTCCCTGGGAGCAGAAACTTCTCGGCCCCTCTGTGCCTCTGCTTCCACTAAACAGAGCCAGGCACGCGCCCGGCCTGGAGCCAGATGCTTCTCCATGGTTCCTGCTCCTGAAACTGGAAGAAGTATAGCCACACCTGGGCAGTGTCTCACTTCACTCCCTCTCTGCCGACAGCCAACCCGGAGTGGACCCCCCCCCCCCCCCCCCAACC